GCAGTTCTCGACTGAAGACCCCAAGCCAAGCTTCTCTGTATCTTTATTGAAAATTATCAGGAAGTAAATCACAAAGAGAATTCAATGCAAATGAAGCCAAGCACTTTCTATTGAAAACCTTCTGCTTGAGTGAGGAGAGAGGGGTTCACAAATGCAAGAATTTGGTTTACCCTTAAAGATTGCCTTGATGCCTCAGGGTGAACTCTAGCTCAGGAAGTAACACTCCCTCTGTAGGGGGCCCCTTGCTGTCTCCTGTCTTGCAGGGAACAAACAGCTCATTTTCTAGGATCTGCCACAAGAGAAATCCTAACTTATAAATCTGTAATTCCTTCAATTCCTAAACAAGGGTTTTCATAGAATATTTGGTATAAAGTTTGGCTTCCCATACTTAGGCAACTACAAATCTGGCTTCCTTGGAGAGTTTCCTGATGTATGTATTTCTTTTAAATGATTCTTACATTATTTGGTCTTTTGTGATTTGTTTTGTTTTGTTTTCATTTTGTTAGCTCTTGTGGCGTAGTTCATAAGGAGTTGTGCTGCTAACATAAGGAGTTGTGCTGCTAACGTGTAAAGGCCACACCTCTCTGGCATTTCTAATCTCCCAGCAGCTTCACAGGAGAAAGATGGACTATCTTCTTCTGTGCAATTTACAGCCTCAGAAACCCACTGGAAGACCAGCTATAAACCAGTTCCAATTCAACTTTATAGTTTGGGTTTGTATATGGCTAATAGTACTAGGCATCTTTTTATGTGCTTATTTGCCATTTAGGGTATGTATCTTCTTAGGATTATTCACTGTATCTTAATCATTCGATGCTATTTAAAAATTGTTATCAGGCCATACTACAACTCACAGCAACCCTATCAACATCAGATTCGAACCTTACTCCATCCTTACCATCTTTGATTTGCTTGAACCCATTGTTACAGCCACTGTGTTAATCCTTCTCACTAAGGTCTTCCCTTTTTCTGATCCTCCATATCTCCCAGAATGACGTCATTTTCTAAGCATTGGTCCCTCCTGCTGAAACAAATTTTCAATATCCTTACCTCTAAGGAGGCATCATATATACACATCCTCCAAGACAGACTTGATTGTTCTTTGGTATCACATGGAATATCCAGTACTCTTCTCCAGCACTATAATTCAATGCATTAATTATTCTTCTATCATACTTATTCCTTGTCCAACTTTCAGATGCATAGGAAGTAATTGAACCAATGATAGCTTGGTTAGGGTACACTTTAGTCTTTAAACTCTTACCCCTTTACTCTTTAGAAATGGAAATTCCAATTTCCATCTTACGTGCTTATGTAAATTGTGCTTATGTGAAGCCTATACATAGCCTAATAAAGTGTACAACAGAACAGAGAATATTGCATGGTTTAAAGCCGAAAGTTGGCTTTTTTAGCTATTACCTTAGCCCACTCTGGTCTCCAGCTACCTTGACTGCAGACACAAAGGTTTGCAAATCATCAACAGCTGTGGGACTAGGATGGAGGGGGAGGAGAGAGAGGAAGAGAGGGAGGGCTACAGGGAGGGTAGAGGGAGGGGGAAGAGAAAGAGAGAGAACAGGAACTTGAGGGAGACTGGAACAAAACCCTGCTGAGAGTAAGACATTGATGGCGAGACCCTGGTGAAGGTGGGTTAGGTTATTATATGTTATGTGGAAATAATGAAACCAGATTCCTTTTACTCAAATTGATTATACTAATGAAACTGTGAGAGCGCCTTCTTATGATACTATGTGGTTTGCATGTGAGAAGAAACCAAGTGTAAGAAAAATAATGAGCATCAGTAGATTCAAAAACGTAGAAATAATACAAACCATCTTGTCAGACCATAATGCCACAAAATTAGAAATTAATAATAGGATGATAAAGGAGAAAAAACCATACATTTGGAAGCTGAACAACACCTTGC